GAAAAATCACTAATAGCTAATACTAAGTTTTGTCTTTTTGTGCTTTCATCTAATGCAAATATCAATTTATTGCATTTTCTGCACATTAATTGAAAACGAATTAATAGATGCTTTTTTTATGGCGTGATAAATGACCTTCTTGGCAACCTTTAAAGTGACTATTTCTGTTAATAAAGCATAAGAAAATTAATAAAATCATCAATTCTATAAGTACTTGTCATCACTACTCACAAAGTTGTCATTACTGCCATTTCTTCCATCATTTATTTCTCCATAGAATTAAACATGAATTTGTTTTTTTTTTTCTTTTTTGCAACGTAAATTTCATTTAATATACGTGGCAATGACCATCCATTTTGCATATCAGATAGGCTGTTTGTTTACTTTCAGCAAATATTATTTGATGGAAAATGTGATTTTTTTTTTAATTTGAAAATTTTGCTGACATTTATTTTGACACGTCAATATTGCAATTGAAATATTTCGTCACAGAGAAATTGGCCTGGAAAACTGCATCATTTGATAGATTGCTTTGATAATATGATGATCTTGAACTAAATTTCATTTCCATTAAACCATTTTCAATCCTCTTCTTTCTTATCTTGAAAATAGTTATTTCTTGATCCTAATAAATTCTAAATGTCATCTTTTTCGAATTTCACTCTTTAAATGATATCGGTATCCTTCTTTGAAAGCATTTTTTTGCATTCATTCAGTTTGCTGTTTTGGTAAACATTTTTTGAAATACATTCATTTTTGCAATTTTTTTGTAGTTCATTTAAGTAATTTCATTTTAAACCGTTATTTCAGCTCAATTTTATCCATTATTCAAATGTGCACTTACCATTTTTACAGCATATAGTTTGAACTTGTTTAGAGATTAACAAATTATTTAATTTTTTAAGATTATTTTGATAAAGCTCAGGGCTAACTTTTTAAAACTAGGTAAGCTGATTCTAAAATTGCAAACTTTTTTGAAACGAAATGTCATCTTTTTTCAGTTTTACTCTAACCTGTATCTTATTTTAATTTTACTCTCATTAAGATTGATCTCATATTCCTTTCAATTCTAAGAACCATAACAACAATTATGCTATATTCATTGACTTTTTATTCATTTTTCGCCTATTTTCTTCACAAGTACTCATCATCTCACTATTTTCTATCTATTTATTGGATATAAAATTTCCAAATAATGCAGAAAGGAATGAACGAAGATCTTTTCATCGCTTAAAAAATATGAAATTATCCATAAATAATTCTCTCATTGATGTATAATTTTTCTGCATCCAATTTATATACAAAAAAAAAAAAAAAAATTGCTTCTAAATGCCTTTTCTTTCTCATTCACATTCCTCTACTTGCTTCTTTTATCATTACTCATTCCATTTCACATTTATCTTTGATTATATGCTTCACTATTTTACTGCAGTAATAATTACATAAATATTACTGAGTCTAAATTTATTGAATCACTAAAGATATTATTTTGCAATTTTGTTTTTTCTTTTTTTCAAAAGAAATTTTTTATAAATCTCTATTTTAAATGAAAAAAATGCTAAAATATATTTGATTGTTCACTAAATGCAATTTTATTATTTCATTTAATATAAATTCATGTCATCTAAAATTATAGTGCGCAATCGTCATATTTTCGAAGTGTTATTCTTTATTAGAATTACAGTAAGGAATGATAATGCTATTATCACCGTAATCTTTCAATCTATATTATTAATGTCTAGATTTTAATACTAACAATTTCATTGTTCCGCTCATAAATTTTCGTCGTGCATTAGAAAGCAAAAAATGATAACTCCTATGAAAATTCATTAAATTTTTACCGAAATTTTGATAATTTAATTTCTAAACATTCTTTCGTGAAAGACATTGCAGATTTCTTTCTTTCAATTAAAAGATATCATAAACGAACATTTTAATTAATTATTATTTGATATTACTTCGAAATTTATTCCTGATTTGTTCTTTTGTTTCGGAATTCTTATTTAATTTCCAGTTTTCAGTGAAAATTTTCAAGTTAATTTTTTCATATATTTCAATTGCTGCTTTCAAAAACGAAACTTTTCCCAGTGGCACATTCTAATCCATTTTTTCATATTTCTTTTCAGTTTTCTAAAGAAAATGCATGCACGAAATAAATTGTTTGCATCATTGTTTTTTTAGCAAATATTGTCTGATAACAGATAAATTTGGAACTGTAGATTTTGCTGAATAAATCGAAAATCAAAAAATGACCAGTCGATGGGTAAAAGGTCGTTTGAATGATGGTAAACAGTCACGTTTAGCAAGGCGGACAACGACGACAATAGCGCCAATTGCATGCCTTTTGGAATGGGATTCTGCTAAATGCCAAATTTTTCATCATAAACGACCGCTGTTTGCACCTAATTTGGCATATTCAAAAACCACATATGGTTCTCTATAGAAGCTGATATTTTATTTTTCCTTACTTTACAATAACAAATTAATTCTTCGATTTTAAAATTTAAATTTTGAAAAATTCTTGCATTACTCAACGAATGGACATTTTTTTTCGTGTTGTTTATAGAATGATTGAGGAAACATAAAAGGAAAAATAAAGAATTTCAGATTCAAAACAAGAAGTGGCAAAATTTTAAAAAGTCTGCTATTATTAAATGAAGCATATCTTATCAGTAAATCTTACTTAGAAATCAGATATATCGGATGTAACATATTGTTGAGTAATAATTCGATGATATAATTAGAAGGAATAGTTAAAATCTTGAGATCAAATAGCATTCAAAATTGTTGACCTAAATGATTAAATGAAGAAAAGTGAATGTTGGATTGATTTATTTCTTTGAAGTAAAAAATTTTTGTTAATGACAAAATTTGTTACTTTAAATTAGTAGTTTGGTTAAGCAAAAAAAGAAAAAAAGTTTGTTAAAATATTTATTTAAAAATTAATTGACATTTGGCAGAGAGTGAAGCAAATTTTCTATACGTTATTTACTTATTCGCTTCTTTTTCCTGTACACTTTTTTTTACCAAATTAAATTAAAGGTATATACAAATTAAAAGACTGACTAGAATGGCGAGCTTTTTGAAAAAATTTACATTTTCAGAGAAAAATTAAATAACTTGAATTACCACTTATGGCAGAACTAAAACTTATTCAATATTGCCTATTCAAATTTAATCTCTAAAATATCTTATTTATTTTTCAGGCTTTATTACACCAATTTTGCCGATATCAGGAATAGCTGAGGAAGGTGCGAAATCAAAATCCACATCGATAGCACTGTTGCATACATCCGAAACAACGTTAACAACTGCATTAGCAACAACTAAATCAGTCACTCCAACTAGAACAACGATATCACAACTGGAACAGTCTAAGAATTTGGCTCAGGAACAAGAACAGAAACAGAAACAGAAACAGGAACGGGAACAGGAACAGGAACAGGAAAATCAAGTAAACGGTGAGTTCACTGAGCGCACTCACACGTTTCTTTCTACCATCACAACTGTAACCACCACCACTATCACTATCACTACTACCACTACTCCTCCTGTTATCACTACTGCTACAGCACATATCACTACCACAACTACCATCGCTGATACCATCACCACCACTCCTTTTAGCTTCACTCAAAAGCATGATATCAATTATGATAGATTTGCTATTCCCAAGACAAATGGCAATCATATCATGTTGACACCAGCTTTGTTCCATCTTAATAACAATGATGATGATGATGATGATGATGATGATGATGATGATGGCGATGAGGATGAACGTTTTGCATTCTTCTGGCCAACTATTTCACCATTTCGAACACAAACTGCAATCATTTCCATCCCTGAGATAAAAAATGTTGAAACAACGTCACCAATAACAACAATTCCTGCAAAAATTTTTCATTGGAATATTATTAGCACAACAAAAAGACCAATTCATAGTTTAACAGTAATGCAAAAAGGAGATAGGCTAAATAAGAATAAATATGGGAATTCTACGCCAATTCTAAATAAACCATTAATAATTGATAGTAATGTAAGTCAATATAAATATGGTGGCAACTATTCTAATGATTATTCTGGATATCATTATCATTCTGATAATATACCTGAATATAATTATAGTTATTTGGATAACAATTATAAAAATTATCATTATCCTAATAGTAATTATAGCCATCTTCAATATCATGGTAACAATTCTAAATGTTACGATTATTCTAATTATTCGAATTATTCTAATTGTATGAATGCTACTACAATTAGCACTTTTCCTGCATCATCGCCATCCCATCGTTCACTTCCTTTTACTGCACCATCGATCACCAGAATTATGCAAATTTCCAGTGCCATCTCGCAGCAACCTGATCGAAATTATTTTGAAGATTTATGGAACGATATTGCTGGACCATCGACACCTATTATTATAAATAGTGATCAGAAAGAATCAACAACGACAATACCATTATCATCTGCTATTACCAATACTATTAATAGTAATCGATCAACCAAGCCATTAACTTTTGACACCACCGTACATACCTCATTACATAAAGGCATAACATCTCAAAATGATGATGGTAATAATAAAAACTTAAGGTCAACTACGCCAAAATTAGCACCTTTTTTGCTGAATATTTCAACTAAATGGTCATTAGAAGAGGGAAAGAAAAGAATAAAAGGGCCAGAAGCTAAGAATTTGGGTAAGTTTAAATAGTAGAGCGTACGCTTTTCTCCAAACTTTGACAGCTATTTGTAAATTCCTCTTCATCTTTTTGAAAATATTTTTTGATTGAAATTTTTTATTTTTAACTTTTAAATTTTCTTTGCTTCAGCATGACTGCAATGTTATTTCAAATTTTTTTTTTTCGTTTTAATCATTTAGTATAATTTATCCTCTTTTCTTTCTATCCTATTATTTATTTTCTTTTTTTTTTGCACATTTTAATAAAATATTTATAGTGAATGAGTGAAATGATCAAGTTTTCAATCATTAAGAGTATTATTTGGTGCTTTAAAATTGTATTGAATGATTATCTTATCAAATAGATATAATCAAATGGCACAGAGAAATTTGATTAAATGCAAATGTTGTTTGTGTATTTTGGTAATATGTTGTAGTTTATCCATTATTATCTTTCAATTAACTAATAAAAGATTGTAAATTACAGGTAACATTCATTCACAAAATAAACCACAACAAGTGCTCACTGTATCTACCGTATCATCATCCTCTACCTTTAAGCATCGTATTCGTACAACATTGGTAAGCCATACCGTTTATGCAGTTAGACCAACTACTCCTATGGGTGAAGTTATCACGGATACAATTAAGGTATGTTCAATTGATTACCTTACCATTTCATTCTTTTTTTTTTCTCGTTAACTCCGTTACGAGGAAATTTTGAAACTGATGAAAGACAAATACAGTTTCTTATATTTCTTTTTCAATGCAATTTTTTTTTTTTGAAAAGTTACATCTAAAATATCGTCTTTTTCATTTACTTAGTAAACTTTTCAAATTTCCTTTAATCTTTTCAGGTTCCCACTACACCGACAGATTTTCCACGTACAGCATTGATTTCAATAGCATCGTTATCTGTGATTATTATCATTGCCATCGTTGTTTTTTGCGTTTTCAGGTAAAATCCATCCATTTTTTTTTTCATTTTCATTATTTGCATTTTTTTTTTCATTTTTATCACCAAATTGAAAGTTATTATTTTTGATTTTTGATTTTTATTTAAAAATTTTAAAAATTTAGCAGTATCTGATTTTTTAATGTTGATTGAAGCATCTGTTTTAAATGCCAAATATCTCTTAAATCTATGAAATCAAGATTTTT